TTTAAACGTAACACCTTTGTGAAGCTCTCCCCGTATTCCTGGATGACTGAAACATCTATGAATTCAGTTTGCGCATTAGTTGGCCTGAGATTTATTTTCTTAATGATATTATAAGATAAAGAGAAAAAGAACTCGATTCCATCCTTTTCAGGGGCATTACGTACCTACTAAGTGATCTGCCTTCTTCGTGTCAATCTTGTCAAAACCTGTTTGGTTCCACACGTAATGCGAGTTGGGGTGCTCATCCATTCCTGAATTAGATCCCTTCCGTCCAATCTCTTGCCATTTCTGTGAGGATATTCAGGGTGTGTTTGATTTTTATGCACAAACTCTCTTCTTCCCCCACCAAAAATAACTTCAATTCCATGACCATACGGGAGTTCTATGAGCTGTAAGGCCGGAGCGTAAAACAACCAGAAATAAACTTAACAGATAAAACTATAACATCACAGCCTGCATACACCTCTTTTCTACGAGAGAGGAAGGTTAACAAGAATGGTGCAGTTTCTCAATGCTAAAAATTTCTTATAATTGCTTTCAGCTTCTCTTGCTTCATCAGTTGGTAAGTTAACACATATTTAGCAGCGTTTTTTGCCCTTCGATTTCCTCTAACAGTTTGGAATAAGATGTTTCAATGGCTCCGGAGCGTTAACTGTAGGATTCGGGACACTTGCAATTGTAGAGTTTAGCTTCCTTTCAAAGTCTTTTGAATCGCACAAGTTATTTATGAATTTTCAATAATTAAATAAAATAAGAAGTACGTAGCCATGTTTGTTTTTGCAACAACAGCAGGGCCTCGTAAGTAAGAAATGTTCCTTACCATAGTTTAAGCTGTTTATCATTTAGAACGGTTTGTCATTTAGTTTTCTGCTCTGATCTGATACATTTCTCACTTACGAGGCCTGATCTGATAATTACTTTTGATTTACAAAGAGAAATTTGATGCAAAATTCAAAGAAGAGGGAAAAAAGATGAAGAAGAGGAGGAGGAAGAAGAAAATTTGAAAAAGAAATGATGGTTCAAGGTGCATATTTCTTTTTTGAGCTGCGAAAGCTGATCTCGCACAGATAAACGTAGTAAGCATCACGACCCTTGTTAGTTTTACCGATATCTTTGCAGGCAGAGGCATCATCGAGCGCTTTTTTCATTTTGTCGCCATCGCTCTCCCAGCCACGATCAGCAGAATGAGCGTACGAACTGGCCGGAGTCGCGTGGGTAACGCGCGTGGTTGTCAAGATTCCAGTTGACATCCCAGCCATCTCTGCGAGCGCGAGTAAAGATGTTGCTCTCCGTTCTGAAGTCTCAGAGGAACAGTAGCCCCATTTTACAGTTTCATTCATTCCAATAACACCTAAGCGACACATAAAACAATTGAAAATTGAGAATCTTAAGAAGAAAAAGTGAAAATCCATTCAGTTTAGTTTAATCTAGATAGCCAATTTATTTAGGACTAACAAAAGAACATGTGCA